GTATGCACCTTTCATTCATTGGGTTAACCAACGGTGGCAAAAATGTTGGAAACCAGACCCAAATAGGGTCCAATCCGTCTATATGTTGAGCTTAACCAGCCGCTAGATCGCCGGTTAATCAATGAAGGGTTGTCCCTTTTTAGTGACATAGGGCGTTTGGAGGAAACATACCCCCAACAGCCTGATAGATTTACTAGTTGGAAGTCAACATTGCATAGGTGTGCTGCATGTAGAAACATGCAAGTGGCTCAGGCCGCTACCTGCACTGGTGTAACATGGGGGGGATCTGTTTTTCTTTAAACAAATACCTATCCCCCGTTGGTTTCTTGTTGGGATAGGTAAACATTCTGGGTTGAGCATCCAGCCGAACTGCTGACCTTCAATTCTCAGCCTCGTAAACCGAGGTATCCTCAAAATGGCACTGCGCCAGGCCCGGCCGACAAGGATTGACTCAGACCCCACCGTTGAAGAAAATCGAGATCACGTGAAAATCCCGAGATGTCAATATGAACCGGTTCTTTGAAAGGATTTTTTGACGGGAGGCAAGAAGCATATTCTTTTTGTCTATGTAGCTTGCTCCGAAAATGACAAGTGCTTTGCCCAGGCTACATATACCCATCATCCCAAAGAGGAACTCGGCTTAATTTGGCCCAGAGGGGGATGTTTAAGCCATCGAACAAACAGCCCCACAAAGAACCAAAACAAACAAACAAACAAACCCAAAAACAGGCTAGCCTAAAAATGTACAAAATTGGATATGGACTCCGAACCGAGACAAATACACATGAAGAAGACTGAGAAAATCCCTGGTTTCCCGTGGTTGTTCTGACCCTCGACTCGATTCTTTGCGCGCCTCCGGGCCCAAGAGCGCATCGATCAGCTGTGGAGGGGGCCTCGGAACGCGAAACCAAACGCCTGACTCCACGCCGCCATGTGTCCAACAAGTGCCCCTAAACAAAGATGCGGTCTGCGGGTGCAACACCGCCTTAAAGTGTGAACCGCCCTGGAAAAAAGTACGCACACGAATGTCCAAGTGGCCTTGTTTGCGGGGGTCTATGAATCAGAGGTTGCCATGCTTTCGACATTGAACCCGAACAGAGCCATTTTGACGCGGAACCCCATAAAGTGCCATAAAGCTCAGGCAGCAGTTTCAGGGAGGTCTGTTGGTTCCTGTCAGATGCTTTGGGCGCCAGGCCAAAAGCCGACATTCCCTTCCATGGAATTTGGCTTCAATTTAAAATAATGTGGCTTCAATTTCAGGGAATTGGGCGTCCTTTGAAGGGAATTGGGCGTCCTTTGATGGAATTTTGGCCTAACTAAGGGAATTGGGCTTCAATTTTAGGGAATTGGGCCCCAGAAAAAAACCTGGCCGGCTCAGGAAAGCAAACTTCATTCGAGTGACATGAGCGATAAGTGCAGGCTGGGCAAAGCAATTCGCTTGAGGGGCACATATTCATAGGTTGGCTCCATTGAAAATTCCAGGTCAAACAAGAGGCTTCCCCCGAACTTTGACCCTGAACGCATCCCCCACACCTAGAAGAAACTGGTTGAACACAGGCAAAAAGGCGATGCCCCAAATCATCCCAAATCACTTCACTTGAACATGTAGCCTGGCTGACTGAAACCCCGGTCCCTGGAAAAAAAAAGGAGGGTACAGTTGTGACCTACAGCAGCGACAGTTCAGCTCTCTATCAAAGGCTTCCCCGACAGACTAGACCAAGCCCAGCAAAAGTATGCCACGCAAGACTGACCAGCGGGGAAACTGAGCCGCCATCCATTCCAAGCAAATTGAACTCAAAGCATGCTGATCCCAACCAGGTCCCGTTTGAACAAGCAACCTCGCTTTGAAATGGCCCAACATGTGACGCTTGAACCACCAGTGCGGAAAATGTAGAGAACATAGAAAACTAGGGAAATAGCAACAAGCTACACTTTGTCCGAGGCGAGCCTCTTCGGCCAAGAAATTACCATATGTCGTTCTGCCAGAGCGGTCTTCGTTTTTGCGGATCGGAAGATCCATCGGCGAGCAGAATCCTATGTACACAGCTCTGGACAAAGGCTGTATGAACGCATACTTGTATATGAACCCATGGCCTCAAACGAAGCCATTTGGTTGTGGGACACCAGTGAAAGGGGGCATATATTGCCATGGGTTCAGGAACAGGTTCACACAATCAGCGTTCGAGGCCCCTGTCCATGCGCTTAACTATCTGCAACGCCGCATCCGGACATGGTGGCTAACAGCCGCCAATTAAGCTGAACTCATATAAATAATTGAATTCCAGAGATTGGATCGTTGAAAGACGATCGCTTTGAAGCTACCGGGCAATGTGGCAAATTGGCTGCGCGACATGGAATCACTTTGGGATCCGACTACCACCTTTTTCCCGGTTCCGATGTTCTTTTCACGCAGCCCGGGGCGTTTTTCTCCTCCTCCCATGACTTATGCATGGGGGAGCGAGAGTGCCGATGCAGAAGGAACTTCCCAATTCTGGACTTTGTAGCTCGCATTCGCCACCCAAAACGGGTACCATCTCGCCAGTTAACATGAAACCAGACTGGGGAGGTCCTGGAAGACCATTTTCCTTTTAAAGGGACCCCCTGACAGGTTCCATGTTCATTGGGGGCATATCTTTGACCTCCTATGAGAGGAGATCACATCTTGCACCGTCTTTTCGTCCTAGAAGTCCCCTCGCCAAAGCTGCTCTTGCACCGCGCTGCTGTCCTTAGACACCAAGGATGGCAGATACATGCTGGGTGCTAAATACCTTTGGCTACACTAAAGTATAACAAACATGGCTCAACCATGTACTTGGGGGGGTCTTCGGTGCGCATGACACATACCCCATGTTTATTCTGCCACAAGAAGGGAGTCGGAATATCTGGGGTATATTTCAGCACTGAAACCAGAAGGGCTTCAAGAACCATGGCCCAAAAAAGAGGCGTGCCCCCTATTTGGGCGGGTGATTCTTCCAAGGGAAATCGCCTCACCAAAGCAAAACTAGGTGGTAGAAACAAAAACGGGGAGACCCACAAAATCCCACACACAATTGACTCTTAAAGGGGAGCCATAAAACATACAACTTTGCGGTTGACTCTTGCAGCCACAAACAAAGACAAACATGGGCAACCAAACGAACGAAAAGCAATTCGCCAACCCGAAACACATGCAAACAAAAGGGAAACACAAACAAAACAACAAGCAACAACAAACCAGAAAGGCAGACAACCCAAGTAAATTGACAAACAAGAACACCATATTTCAAAGAAAAAAACAACAACTTTCACCTTGAGAACCTTTACTGAAAATGAACAAAACCTTACAAACCAACAAGCCCAAAGGTCGACTCGTTTGCTGTGAAAAAAGACAAGCGAGAATCGCTTCCGGTGTTAGTCTCCCGACCCCAAAACACAAACAATACAAAGGAAAACCAACAAACAAGGGAAGACAGAACAAACAAGAGCCCCCTCAAAGCGAACACGCAACGCAAACAAACACACACACACAGCCATACAACACTGGCCTCATTATTTTACCATGATCAAAGTAATTAAAGGGAAACAACCCCCATTTTTTGACTTTGATAACTCCCAGAAACCGTCACAATAATGACCCCAGCAAAAATAAAAGCACAACACCGCCAAAATGGACCGTCGGGCGTCTCCTCCGAAGAAGGCCCCGCCCCAAGTCACCACCTGGCCGTCACAGCGCACCGCTGCAAAGGCGCAGGCGGAGCCACAGATTTGCTGAACATCCCACAGCTGCTCCTGACGGATTCGATGGTTCTAGGTCCAGTAGAGAGGATAGAATAAGTTGGTACCCGATTCTTTTTTCTGTAGTCTATTTTAGTAAGCGAACCCTCCCCCAAAAAAGTTGGTGAGAAAGGGTACTACTGGGGGTCCTAGACTTGTATTCAAGCAACCACACCTGCGAACCATTTCCATAGGCAAGCCGTAAGGTTTCAACCCGACAAGGTACGTTGACCCCTCCCCCTCGAAAAATCCGCAGGGTACTCGGAGACTCGACGGGAATCGGAAGGCCAAACAAAAGACTTTGGTTCGCCTATGGGGCGTTTCTCAAAATAAGACGCAATTTATTTCGGACGGGAAACCAACACCCCGGTGGCCCGGATTTTGAGACTCAGCGGAATGATTAAAATGGGGGTTTGGGGGTACTTGAGAGCCAAGGTAAGTTAAGAACCTAGCATCCAGGGATATTTCTGTCTGATCCCCGAATATCTACCCGACTCTACTCGAATACTTACGAGCAGCTTTTCAACAAGCATTCCCACAGCACCATTCTCTGACAACTGGGTGCGTGTGCGCGCTAAAAGAAGATCAACAAAGACCTGGTAGCTCCCTAGCTCCCTCAAAAACAGATCTGGATACCCCCAGCTTGGTTGTTTTTTCACCACCAGCTAGACTAAGGGGCGCATGCCCATCTAAGCCCTCTCTCCGACTTCGCCGCACTCCGCTGTGATTTTAGACCGGTGCCAGGGGTCATTCCATTTCTTCCCGAGCACCAGCAAGACTATGGCAACTGACAGGGACCCCGTCCCTTTAAAAGGAAATTCATCTTGGTACTTCCCCACAGGTGCAATGTGAGTTGGCGGAAGGTTCCAAATCGCGTGGTTGGCGGTTTGCTTTGCCACCTTTCTCAGCAAGCTCTGAATTAGAGAGCTTTAGAGCGCAAAGGGAACATGCTAGCACATCATTTCACATCAATTGAGCTTTTCGGGGTGGCATTTAAATTTTAAAGGCATCAACCAGTGTTGTCCACTCGTAGTTCCAAACGAAGCGCAATTATTTGGCCCCTCATACTACCCTCACTTCTGGCCAAGGGCCGAATGTAGCAGCTCGGGATCAAGAACTCTGACATGTGTGGGTAGGTTTGAAGGGAACCATCTTGGGGCTCCCGTATTTTGACACGCCATACCCGAAGAGATCCTGCACAGGTCAATTCTTCTCGAGGTCGAGGAACCCTGTCAGGTGTCACCTGTTCCCATCTAAGCCAAGCTTAGAGGCAAGCGATACAAACTGTGCCCAACTTCCAAGCAACTTTCACCGGTCGGAGTCAATAGCTGACTCACAGGCGGATCAAGTTCAACTACCACAAGCTTCAAGATTCCTTCCGAGGCTGTCCGACACAACGTGGGCCCAACTCTGAGGATACCAACCATAGTATGCTTAATTCGGCGCGATTTTTATGTAGCCTACCCTTAAAACAATGCTTTCATTCTGATTCATGTACGAGTCTACCCTTCCAAAGCTGCTTTTTTCTCAAGGAAACCCCAAACACGCCCCGCCAAAAACCCCCGAAGCGCTGCGACGCTCCTGGACCGCTGAACTGTCGCCGCCGTCCCAAGGCGCACCTAGCGCTTTCACCAACCCAGGACCAACCCCGGTGGATGTGTACACTTTCTTGCTGGTGCTCACGCAATGAGACTTGGAATGAATTTTGTAAACCATCCCTTGTGGTTTCCTTTCAGGGAATCCCTGGGTTCATTCTAACATTCCCTACCTATCGCACCAGCAAGCTTAAGGGGATCCTTCACTAGGGGACACCGCCCTAGTCCAATCCAAGGACAAGATCAGTGACCGATTTGAAGAGCCCTCACTACCCGTGCCAATCGACTTTGGCGCGCCCAACCCCAGCTTTGAATCCAATGTGGTTACAAGGTTTGCATAGCCCTTGCCCGAACCCACATGAGACCAGGCAGAGCCAAGGGCTTTGGGCGTGAGGGGTGTCCCAAGAAGGCAACGTCAGCAACGCCAGGACCAGGTCGATGGGGGATTGCAACCCAAACCCAAGTGGAGCGACGTCCATCTCTTAGATCTGCTGCCTCAGCTTGATGGGACAACTAGGTTTACTACTCATACGGTCAGCTCGTCATTCTGTCTCCTTCAAAGATCACCCCACCCAAAGGCGACTCACGGTAAAATGGCCGAAAGGGGATGTCTGAATCACCAAAAAAAGAGTAGTTTGTCAACATTCCGGGCCCCTTGAGGTGGATTCCTTTTGGTTTCCCCAAAGAGGGGACCCCTTCAGGTGATTCCAAATGCCCCTTCAGGCGCGGTTCACTCCCCATGGCACTCAAGGAGGCTGCGGTTACAGCTGGCGGAAGCTTTAAAACAGTGGTTGGCTAGCGGGGATGGCAATGTTCCTCCCAAGCAAAGCAAAGTATAGAGGGCTGCAGAAAAGAGAAGCTGGTTTGGGAGCACGCGTTGATCTTCTCTTGTGCCTTTCTACCCACCTTCTGTGCTAGTTTGAGGTGGCCCTTTGGCTGCGGCTTCCTGGCCCCGACATATTCATAGCCCAGGGAATGGCAACCTCGTAAATAACGATTCGACTAGAAACGAGGGCTGGGTCAAAAGACTTGGATCGAATTACATGGGATCAACCTGTGTGCCAAGCGGCCGTGACCAACCCGCGTCCCCAAATCCGAATCTGAGGGCCCGGGCCCCACGTCACCACCCGGCCATCCGCGCGGATTGCCGCAAACGCACGGCTCGTGCCGGAGATCTGCTCCACCTCGTAGAGCTGATCCTGGAGTCATCGAGCAGATGGCAATCCTTCGGGGGTGAAATGAAAAGGACAACCACACGGATTTGCCGGAAAGCTCCAGTATTGAACATCTACCATTTCTCCGGACGTATACGCCCAATCCCGCTGCTTTGATCTTCTTGAGGGTGTTTGGACTTTGTGTATGGGGCCGGTTTCAAGGAATCATGCTTGTCACAATTCTGTACACCAAAAACAAGTCCTTGATAAGCAAGCCTTTTTCACTTTGCATTTGCATTTGATGTGGAGCCATGGCCGGGTCGTCCACTGCGACTCGACCGAAACATTATTTCTGTGTTCAGGAGCGATCCCTCAGTCCGACATTCCGATATTGATCCAGAGCCCCAAGGGGAGCTATGGGAGATTGTGGCCCATGGTCCTGAATCGATAGAAAATACTATAACTTCTTTGGCCTGCAGAGTCGGGCAAACCTGGTTGAAAGACCAGCCTTGACACCGCACAGGCAAAACGTGTTGAACCTTGGGGAAACCAAAAGAGTGCTCAAGCATGAAGGCTCCACCAGCAAGATCCGGCCATGGCTGGATGGATGGATGGATGGATGGATGGATGGATGGGTGGGTGGGTGGGTGGGTGGGTGGATGGGTGGGTGGGTGGGTGTATGTATGTATGCATGCATGCATGCATGCATGTATGTGTGTGTACGTACGCATGTTCGAATGTACGACTGTATGACTGTATGTCTATATGGAAGAATGGATGGATGGATGGATGGATGGATGGATGGATGGATGGATGGATGGATGGATGGATGGATGGATGGATGGATGCATGCATGCATGCATGCATGCATGCATGCATGCATGCATGCACGTACATTTCCTATTGCACCCGCAAGCAAGACCCGCTTCGACTCGACTCCACGTCTCCTGCACCTCCTCGCTGTCCCCACCAAAGGCTGGCTCGCCCCAGGTGATGACACGGCCATCCGCAGCGATGGCTGCAAAGGCCTGGGCGTCAGCGAGCTCCGGAAGGGGACCTATGGAAAGGAACGGAACCAAAACCAAAAGCCTAAAAACATGCCAGCAACAGCCTAGGTTTTCGAAGATCGACAGATCATCAACCAGATTCGGGGACCGATTCTCTATTTGGAACACCTGAAGGGCGACACAGGCCTGCATGCTGGTTCTCAGGGAATCAACAGTTGATTTTGGGAATGAACCAACGGATTCCCAGGGATACTGGAAGAATAATTTCATCCCCAGGAGCTTTCTCGAAACCTTCCCGAAAAAAAGTACCCCAGCAGACCAACTGGCGCTCGGTGACTCACAATCAGGCATGTCTTTGGCATGGGAGAGCGTTTCATGATCAGCGAGCGAGCGAGGATCACAAGGGACCGATCCGGCCATGTTCCAGTGCCGTGTATCATGTGAAGGATGCGTCGGTAAAAGTGACTTTTTGACTCGTCCAAATATGATGATTCATGGAATCTCAACGGCGACCTAGATTGATCAAACGCAGGGTAGTATCTGTTACCCTAGCATTCAGTAACTCAAGATCAAGCGACCTTCCCTGCCCCTTGTGTTTTCCATTCTCCCAGGAGCCGCGTTCGTGGCACAGATCTGGCGCACCTCCAGGCCGGGTGGGGTCGCCCACATACTCAAGTCCTCTGCACCCAATATATTTAATCGGGGCTTCGTGTGGTTGTGCTTGGACTTAAAGCAACCAGCCAACATGGCCCACTAAGAGAAGCGCAATTAACTTTAATATCCCTTTTGTTTCCCGCTAACGACCAAGCATGCAAAACTCCCCCCGAGAAACAAAAGAACAACTATCATATGGCATGATCCAAACTACTTTCCTGATGCTCGTTTTCACAACAAAACACTGGGTCAAAGATTATGCCTGACAACATCACAAGAAGAAATCGAGAACAAACCCAAAAGAGCCGAACCCGCCGGCCTCCCCCCCCCCTCCGCCCCCCTATCTGCAAAACACGTAAGGGAACCATGAAAACCTTCCCCGACAATGCTGCGCCTGACATCTGCTTCCGATTTGGAAACAAATGATCCCTTTTCCCCCAGAAAGGTTTGCAGAACCTTTTGAACAAACCCCTTCGACCAGAGCGTTCCGTGCTGCTCTCTGGGCATTCCCAGGGATTGTCTCCTTTGCCTTCAGTCTCCTGTCAGTCTGTTGCTCCAAATGCCCACGATCGCACAAGTAGAATATGAGTATCATGTTTCTACAGGAACACTGAAGGAGCAGCTATGGATGTGTTTCTTGGGAACTTCTTTTGGGCTGAGGCAAACCCAAGGGAAACCCATGTTGGGACTCCGGTTCGGAGACAGACACTGCAATTTCTGGCGCCAAAGCTGCCATCTTCCCAGGCTCCGGGCTTCCGAAGATTCGGTTTTCGCGAGACCCTGGACCTCACGTAGGAATCAATGGGCCCCGTACCTCTCGGAGGTCGGGTCTCTTTGCTGTTCCCGCTCCCGGCTAGACACCCACACAAACAACACAAACATACACACAACACACACAAGCCCCTAAAACGGCAGACCCAAAAGGTGCCCATCTAGAAATCCACGACAAAACAGCTTCCCCCCGAAAAGGACAAAGTCAAATCCCCCAACCACCAATCCAAACCAATCCAAACCAATCCAAACCAATCCAAACCAATCCAAACCAATCCAAACCAATCCAAACCAATCCAAACCAATCCAAACCAATCCAAACCAATCCAAACCACCAATCCTCCCTTTTCCAGCCAAAAGAAAAACATCCATTTTGAGAACTGCCCAAACCGCCAAAACCAAGCCTTTCCAAAAGAAACAACTCCACCTCCAACCGGCCCCTCAGAGCCGGCCGTCGCTTCTTCGCTCGCTCGCTAACACACGCGCGCGCCTCCCGAAGCTTGGGCCGCACCTCCGGCGGCACGTTGCCCCCAGCCACCTCCGCGCCCCAGGTGACCACCGAGCCATCGGCCTGGCGAAGCGAAATGAAGCGAAGCAGCGCCCCGAGAGCCCCGAGCCTCCTCCGAGTCGTTGGGCGGCTTTTTTTTTTTTCTCCCCGGGGGGAGGGCGGTATGAAATCAGTGTTTGGTAAACTTTGGGTGGGTTTCTTGGGGGGGGGGGGGCTTGGAATTGTTTTTGTTTATTGCTGCTGCTGGTGGTGGTTACGATGTTGATAACGTTCCTTTGGGTTCAGGGCTCCTTTGGTTGCCAGAAAGTTGGTGGCTCTTTTGGGTTCGGGCTTTGGTCTTGCGTTTCTTTAGGTTCCGTTGCGGCCCTTCGGGTTTGAGGCTTTGCTTGGACAACGTGGAAGGCTCATTCGCGTTTGGGGCCTAGGGTTGCTTGACAGCTTCGGTTGACAGCTTCTGGATAAGCGAACAAGCATTGTGGAGGCACTTGAAGTCAAAGAAATCAACTCAGTGGATGTTCAGTGTGGAAAATTCAAGCCTTGTGGAGTTTCAGAGGCAAGTCCATGCTCTTTCTCTCCGAAAGATCCAGCAAATAAGGCTTGAAGCCGAGTTCTGAGCGACCTTTGCTTGGAAGTAGGGCTCGGAGCCCACCTTGGAGCGGCCGGTTCTCTCCAGGCGCCAAAGCAGCCGCGAACCAAAACCCGTCCTTAGGTCCTTGCGTTCAGAAGTCATAATGGGAGCAACGTCCACTAGGTCCTCCAGATTTGCGAGGTTCGAATAAGGGTACCCAACTTGTTGTCGGTTTTGTCTATTTTAGTAGGGGAACCCTCCCAACCAAAAAAGGGGAGAGAAGGGCACTGGGGGACCTAGGGGAGCAACGTCCCATTGGGAGAGGCGCCTTGCGAACCGCTTCGCTGGCCAATGAACCTGGAAGGCGTACCTGACTTGATGGATCCAGGCGCTGGAGTTCGGCCCCAGCATCCCCAGGCAAGCGAAGCCATGGAAATCCGCTAGTCTCATATGCCTTCTCGGGCATTGAGGCTTCCTTGGACATTACGCCCACCGGACGCATTGCCTCAAGGAGTTGTGGTTTCGGCGACTCTCGCCTTTAGCAAAGGGGTGAACACTTCAATAGGGGAGTTTCCCCAAAAGCTAAAGAACCGTTCTGGGACTGTGGAGAATCTACCAAACAAGGGTGCCACTTGGTTGGGCCACTAAATATAAGCTTTCATTGACCAGTGGGCCAGGGTTGGTTCACGACCCAAGAGATGTGTATCTAAAAATAGGTCACTAACATCTCAAAAACTTCTCCGGTACACCACTAGGTCCTCCGGTAGAGAGGCTAGAATAAGGGTACCTGTTTTTTCCTTCTTCTTTGTTCTGTAGTCTGTTTTAGAAGGGGAACCCTCCCCCAAAAAAGGGTGAGAAAGGGCACCTAGTGGGGGACCTAGACCAAATACACACCCAACTGGGTCTCACACTTGAGAAAAACATCCAGGTGCAACTTCTCCATGTCGGCTCCTTCGCTCTTTAAAAAGCCAAAGCAAAGTCCAACACCGTCGAAGTAGCAAAGAAGGATCCTTGAAAAACACCCTGCTTCGACAAGAATCAAGCACTAGCTTCCATCTAGCTTGTGGCTTGCGTTTCTGGTGAGGTTGGGAGTATTTTGCTTTTGCCCTCTATAAGAACCCGAAGTTCACACCCGCAAACCACCACTCCGAAGCAGCGATTAAGGGTTGCCTGACCTGCAAAAGGCCACAAGTTGATGGCGATCGCTCTGCAAAAGATTGCTTCATATCACTTGTTGCAGCTGTATAATTTTCGATCCGTCCACCAAAAACAAGGTTCAAGGTCCAAACCATCTTAGGAGTCCTTTTAGGGGAAATAGATGGCCCTGGTAGATGAAACCACCAGGTAAACCAGGAATCGAAACCCATCTATTTTTCTAGCCAAACAACCAAAAAGGACAACTACGCGTTCTTAAAATCCAAACCCAAAGGCACTGACCCTTGGGGTGTGCCAAAACGGACATCTATGGCTGGGTTCAAAGTCCCACCCATGGCACTCAACCACCTGACCCTTGAGGTTGGGGGTGATCAGCTTGGGCCTGGATGGCGGCGAAGGCGCTGAAGGAGGCGCTCAACTCCTAAGGCGGGCGAGGCCATGCCAAGCGACCCCTTGAGGGAAGTCACCTCTGGGCAATAAACCAATACGCGTGGGTTGCTGAAAAGTGTATATATATATATATATGTAGTTGTGGTTGTGGTTCCCCGGAATCCCTTCAATGCGGAATGCAGCTTTGCTGACATAAGCAAACATGTTGTTCTTGTTTAATCCATCTATGCTATGAGTGTATGTTTGTTCTATACTAGCATCTCTCTCTGTATATACATACATATAATGTGTAATGGTTGTGGATCGCGGGGCTAGTAGAGGGGTTGCGTGTGCATTTACACAGATGTATGTATGTATGTATATACATAGTTCTTGTGTGTTGTATTGTAATTTGACAAGTACTGTGTAGTATGATTTCTATGTTGGAACCCGTTCCCATGCTTCTTGGCGGGGAATTGCAAGGACGCCCCGACCAGTCAGAAGCCAGGGTGCCCGGACGGATGCTGCGCTCTTGCGGGAAACACGTCGTGCCGAAACCGCTTGATCCAGCGTCAGTTTCCGCAGCACCACCCCTCAACATGCAACATACATTCCTTGGATCAAGTGGCTACTGTAGAAGGACGGTCAACACTGAAAGCCTCTCACCCAAGGAACTGGAAAAGGATGGGGCTCGAGCACTTGAAGTCCCGACCGCCGAAAGGAAGCAGAAAATGACCAAAAGTCCGGATCCAACCAGAAGGGCCCGACATGTTGCCACATCTTTGGGTAGTTAGGTGTGAAACTGGGACCCCCATCTCATCCAACTGACTTCACGAGCAGAGATCGGAGATCAACAGGTTTAGGCCAATGCCACCTGCTAAAACTTGCTAAGGCTTTCACATCCTGCCACACAACATGTCCTTTCTAAACCGGCTTTGCCCAACCAGTCAGTGTCTTTCCAAGCTTGGCCCCTTTGCCGCCTTTGGCGGACTGTCCCCACAGCAAAAAATATATTTTCTTGGGCAAGGCTTGGCATATCTTGCAGGAAATCAACGGGACGGAGAGAGACTATATTTTGCTTGTTTCTGCACTTATTGATTCTTTGATGGCTACTGTCCTCCAACTGCCCGTTTCCTTTTTGTTTTTTTGGTGGTCAGGTTGTGTGGCTTTCCCCGTCCCGTTCGTCGCAGGCGAGGCGCTCGCGTGGTCTGCAGCTGCTCTTGGACCCCCGAGCAGTCGCCCCCGTACTCGGGGTGTCCCCACGCCACGACGCCACCGTCGCAGATCGCCGCGAAGGCCCTCAGCCACCAGCCGCTGGCCCCACTGCGGATGGTAGCGAAATCCGTTTCGCACCACTTGGAAACCAAGGAAGACCATTGCGTGCTGGCATTTGCAGGGGGAATCGACTCATTCCAGGCTTTTGTAGGTGGTGCAGGATTTCGTCCACCCACAGTAGTTCTAGAGAAAAAACGAGTTTTGGGCTGGGAAACAGACACACAGTTGGGGCCACGTTTTAGAGGGTTCCCGGCAACCCGGGTAATTTTGGGAGTTCTACGGAAGCCTGCCAAAAGCAGGTGCGGTGCCAATTTTTGGTTGCCTCTCAGAACCGTGAAACAGCCCTGTGACGTCTATCTGCATTTTGGGATGGCCAAAGAAACTAGATTGATCCCCCATTTGACTTGACACCCGGAACAAATAGGGAAGCACACATTCACACATGCGCGCATCAAGTGCAGATACTGTTGGGATGAATCTGGAGAAAACACTCATTACCAAACAGGAAGGTACATAAAGAGGATCCACGGGCAAGAAATACCAAGGAATACTCTATGGGGGTGGCCAATCGTCGAATCAGATCGAGGACCCTGTATCTGTATTCATTCCCGGTGATTGATAAGGAGACCTTGGATGTCCAACGCACGCAGGTCCGTTCCTTGTATATATATATATAAGTTGGTGTTACTGCGAATAAATGCTCCCATCTGGAACCTGGAAAGGAGTTGCGATCACCTTTGGGGTTGCCAAACTCAACAGACTTGCAAGTCGACAGGTCGGCGTTAGGAAACTACATTTCACCAAGCAGAGTTATCTTCATCCTGGCCCCGACCTTTGGGGGTCCTCGCCCCATGTAAGGCCAATATGAATGGCAGTATTGGCTATTCTTCGGGCCTGTGGAGCACCTAGTTGTTGGTTGCTATTCAAAAACCAGCGGTGGCCGAAATACACGCCTGACAAAGGCCCAAACCCCCTAACAAACAAGAGGGGGCTTTTGAGCACCCCACCACCTTCGAAACACACCTGAACCCCCCAAACATACCCCAACCCACCCCTCCACCCCCAAAGTAGGGGTAGAAGCACCAAAGCAAGGCGGCGTCGGTGACACCTTCCCCACCCCCCCCAACCCACCAGCGCCGAGGCTCCGCGAGGTCGCCGCCAGGCGCCGGACGTTCTCTGCCACCACCCCCTCCCCGCGCAGCGCGTGGAGCGCGGAGCCGCCGCCCCAGGCGACCACGCGGCCGTCGGATCTCAAGGCCGCGAAGGCGCGGTCGGAGGCGCAGATCTCCTGCGACGGCGGTGGTCAAAAAAGGAATCCCCCAAAGGAAACCAAAAAAAAACGGAAGACCTCATCAAAAACCGGTATCCCCAAAATGGGCTTGCCCTGGTACATGGAAGGACTCAAACCTGCGGTCCATATGCTGGTGGTTTCATTTTGACCCATAGACTTGGCCGAACCTGCAGGGCTAAGCCAAAGACCGCTTTTGGTCAGTGGGTCCTTAAATGATGCTTTTCAAGGGACACCATCCCCAAACACATTGACAAGATCCTGAGTGGTGGGCAATAGACATACCCACTTCGGTGATACCCAAGTGGGTTTGCGCTTGAAAGGGGTTTCACTGGGATGTCCGCCGAACAATTCGAAAGAGTTGTCCACAATGTTCGAGTGAGCCCCAAGATCAGTTTTGCAAAACCTGAGATACGCTACCTGGGGTCGAAAGGGTCTCAAATGTTCGGATTCATCTGGAGGGGCCCTAGTCGCGGAACCCGCAAAATAGCTATAGTTTCATTAATAAAAATATTACCCTCCCACCCACATGAAGCTGACCAAGAACCTCCTGGAAGATCATGTTCCAATTAAAACTGACCCTTATTGGATTTCATGTTGGTGGACAGCGTACCCCGGACTATTGTGGTCCTCAAAACCCAAAGTTAACATTATTCCAACGGCTGAAAGGGCGATGTGTGGATGGGGGACTTTCTGGGGGTTGTCTGTCCATTTGGTGAATTTGAACAGACCCTTTGCTGGAGGCATCGGCGCAGTGTGCTCCCGCGGAAGCACCGCTGCAACCAGTGAAATGGGCGCTGTGCAGATAATGTCTGCGGGCCATGCAACCACATGTTTTGCTAGCGGTGCCAAACAGGGCCAGCACGGGCGGGAAGCGAGGGAATCGGGTTTCGGGTATTGAATAGCCCGATACCTTTTAGATGGGGGGCAAACAAAAAGGAGCCAATGTGGTTCTGCCAGGGTAAGGGAAAAAATACCAATGTTTTGCTTTCCGGGGATCCCAAACAGGAAGGTTTTCCTTTTGGTTTCCCTCCACAAGAATGGGAGGGGGGTACCCTCAGCAAAAAGAATACGAACCACCCATGTTCAAAGGAGTTGTACATCCCGACTTGGAGTTGTGACGCTCCCACCATCTCCTGAATTTTGTCTAAATCGCATGCCCAGTAAAACTGGTCTGGATGCAAACCGGGATATGGAAAGGACAAATTTGAGTATGGGTCAAAATTAAGCCACCAGGGGACCGCAGGTTCCAGTCCTGGTTCCATCTCCATGTTGGATGTTCCGATTGTTTTTTCCCGCGGCCACATGGGGGTTGATCAATCTTCCCTTCCGCACCCCAGTTTTGACCGATTTTGACCATGGGTCCCACTTTTCCCGTTTTCTTGGTTGATTGTCGTGCCTTTTCGGGTGGTTTCCCTCATGGCTATCCCATGTGTCACGGACCTTTTGCTCAACCCCAGTCTATATGTCTCTGATTTGTTGGAACTCAGTCTTAGCAGCCATCCAGTTTCGGTTTGCTACCATCCCATGTTTTTGGTATGGGTCAAAATTAACCCACCAGACCTCCATTTTTCAGGTTGACAACCACACCCGTCTGAGCTGATGTTTTGGTCTATGACTTCGGCTGACTGGACCCACAGTCATTTGGCTGTGAGTCAAGCATTGGTACCCAACATGGGTTGCCCTTGCAAATGCAAACATGGACCAAAACCTGCGGTCCAATTCCTGGTGGTTTACTTTTGAATACTTTTGACCGTTCCCACTTGGCCATGGGTCAAAATCCAAATCGTCTCCCCAGTGAACATCCCACTCCAACCACGAAAATAGGTTCTAACATGGGTGGTGAATTCACCTACCAACCAAAATGGGATCCCCAAACGGTTTGGAGAACCACAGCCACATAGGACCCCTGAAAAATGGTGGGTGTTCTCTTGACTTCCCATTAAAACATTTTTATTTTTGACCACACTCATTCTCGCAAAACACCCAACACAAAGGTACCCCGAAAGAACACAAACCCAACTGTTTGATCTGGGTTCCCTTTGGCGAGAACATGGGAAGTGGCTGTCAAAACCAAGTTGTTGCCAACAGGGGAAGTCATTTACTGTTGACTGGTTGGTTTTGATTTCTCTAGGGTCAACAATTCTAATAAGGGCACCTTTCTTTTTTCTGTAGTCTACTTTAGTAGTTGAAAGGGCACCAAAATTGCTGGGACCTAGATAATTATTTGGTCAATTATTATTTTTTGACCGCACACATCTCGCGGCTCCTGCACCTCTCTGAGCTCCTCGGCCACCTGACTGGACTCCCCTCCCGCCATCTCGTGGCCCCAGGTGACCGCGGTGCCGTCGCGGCGGATGGCGCAGAAGGCGCCTAGGGTGCCACACACGTGGACCACGTCCCTCAGCTGGTCCTGAGAAGCCGCAGTGGGGGTGGGGTGTTTTTGGTTAGTTTGTTTGGCTTCTTGACTGATTGATTGATTGATGTTGCTTGGTTGTTTTGTTTGGTTGTTTTGCTTGGTTGTTTTGCTTGGTTGGTTGCTTGGTTTGATTGATTGATTGTTTGTCTTGTTTGCTTGCTTGTTTGCTTGTTTTGTTTGTTTGTTTGTTTGTTTGTTTGTTTGTTTGTTTGTTTGTTTGTTTGTCGGTTTGTTTGCTTGTGTGCTTCTTTGATTGCATGATTGTTTGTGTTCACTCTTTGCTTGCTGGTTCGTTTAATTCTGTGTTGTCTGTCTGACTGCCTGCCTGCCTGCCTGCCTGTCTGTCTGTCTGTCCGTCTGTCTCTCTGTCCGTCTGTCCGTCCGTCTGTCTGTCTGTCCGTTTGATGTTCTTGTTTTGTTTTCCCGGTGTGTGTGTAGGTGTTTGTTCCCTGAAAAAGTTAGATATGTTGTTGCTTCTTTGTGATTGACAGTGCATTTGTAGGTTTGTGTTTGTGATGCTTGTGTCTGTGGTACCTGTCTTATGGGTTTGTTTATGGGTATTCTGTGTTTGTGTCGGTGCTTTTAAATACGACAACTCAATAGCGAAACAAAGAACAACGAGAACACACTTCCAAGGGTGTAGGTAACAATGTCTCACTTCCCGAGTTTGGCCAAACCAAGTATGCTCCTTTTTTGTTTACCCCTCAAATGGTCTTAGTAACGTTTAGTAACCTTCTAGCTCATTCTTTCGGGCATCCAGTTCAGAACGTACACCAAACAGCCTACAAATTTACATGGTCCTCCGGAGCCATGATTTCACTTTCCTTTTTGACCATGCACCCAATTTTGGGCCCCTGATATTCAAAGCCAAAGCAACAAGAAACCGGTCCGACCATGGGGCTCGTAGAGCGCTTCACATACATGGGTACATAAAAGGAACGCATTTTGGCCGGAGGTTCCTCAAGCAGAAATCATGACCTTCCAAAGGAGTTTCCTGCACTGCTGGCAGGGCAGACTCGGAACATTCCAACCCCGAACCGATGGAAAACGTTCGGGGCTCTCCTCCATACCAGATATCCCTACAAGGGAACATGCACATGGAGAATCGTCTTTTGGGGGACAGCCATACAAAGTGGGTGGGATTGTGGGACTTGAGGTGCGATGGCCGGTGCTTGGATGTGTAACCCACTTAGCAGGTTGTAGCCATGGATATCGTTGGAATATTCCTTGGTTAGCCCCCTCAAATCCATTGCAACCTAGGTGGGTAGAATGCCCAAACGGGTGTCTTTTTCAGGGGAACCCCCCCAAACAAAATAGGTGCGTTTCCGTTGGTTTTCTTGCACCAAAACCGACCTAAGATAGAAAGACGCACGCCAAGCGGGGGCCGCGAGTCCTGCACCTGGCCGCTGTCGCCGCCGTTTCCGGCATCCCCCCAGGTGACGACTCGCCCATCCGCGCGCACCGCCGCGAAGGCGCAGGAGGAGGCGCTGATTTGCACCACCTGCCGAGGGCGTGGGCGTGGGGCGGTGGGGGTGGGGGAACCCTCCCGCCCAAAACGGTAAAAGGGCACTGCTGGGGAACGTAGGGTTTCAGCTTCCCTCGAAAAAGGTGGTTTGGAGCCCAGTTGTTTGGTTCGGGAGACGGTTCCCATGACCGGCTACGTCAATCTCAACTTCCAAACCACCAATCCAAACCACCAACTAGGGTTGCTTGAAGAAAAAAAGAACTTAAAAGGCACCTGTGTGTCCATGTCAAATCCTGTAAAGCAACCCGAAAAAAAAGAGGGTATCAGCTCCAAAACACACGCACACCCACAAATACCTCAGGGATTGGGCAAGTCAACCTTGTTCCAACCATTGTTTTGAGTGTGAGTTTTTGAGGGAGCTTCGTGTTTAACAGCACCCTTACAAAATGATGAACGGAGTCCAAAGAAAACCAAAGCCGACATTTGCTTTCCAACTAGCTGGTCAGAGCTACCCTTTTCACCTTCGTGAAAAACAACAACACAGCCATGTTTGGGACCCCTTATTTTGACACATACGCACTCGGGGTTAGTCTCAACACAGGAACCGCATATTGGATGTGTTCAGACTTTTTCTGGCATTGAAGAAGAACTGGCTCGAGAGAATCCGAATTGCTACTTTTAGGAGAAGGTCCCCCGAAACGAAAAGCCCAAGCACGGGTGTGACTTGCTGCAGCCATGGTCAAGGGGCATCCCTCCATTCCGTTTTCCATGGTTGCTACAAAGCGGGGGCATCAAGAAACATGACCTATCTATCTCGTGAATAGCTTCAACAAAATGGGTCTCAATGATTAGATCGGAGTGGTGGGGTTCTTTAAATACACATTTCGTCATGATAAGTTTGTTTGTTTTCGCCACCCGGGACCTCTCGCGGGAGCTCTCCCCCGCCCCTCCCTCTTTAGTGGCGCCTCTTGGAGCAGGTGCTGCACGGCAAGGCTGTCCCCAGCACAGGTCGGCGCGCCCCAGGTCACCACCTCCGTCTGACGTACGCCCCAAAGTTCGGCAAACCCGGTGGGCTCGGCTTAACCAACAAACTCACCGCAAAAAACGGGATGCGAAATTTTGGGGGTGGCTTTCCTGTTGGCTCCCTACGGTTCACAAAGTTTAAGTGGCAAGGCAACAGTTCAAGGCTTCCCTGAAAGGGATCCCGGAGGACTGCAGCCTCTACGCCAGATTGTGTATACCATTCAAGAGGGAAACCTGGCTGGTGAATTAAGCAACATACTGTGGGTTCAAGGGCTTCATAGCAGGGGTTCATACATTCAGCCTTTGAGGTAGGTGTCATTTTGGTCAGATGGTACTAATAATTAGAACCAAACTGACACCAACCTGAAACTAGTCCCCAAATCAAGCATGAGAATGGCTTTTGGAGGCTCGGTACCCTGTGCGGGCTTGGATTAAAAGGACACCAAAAGGACAGCCGCACTTTTCAGGGGTACCCAAGTCCCCCCCGCCCACCATTTCGACACTGCACATCTGCACCCTTGATTTGGCCTGGAAAGCCACCTATTGAGATGCGGCTGTGTCTTGAAATGGGAATCCCCTGGTGGTTTGCCTTTGAGTTTCCACTCAAACACCCAAAAAGTTGCCTCGCTTGCGCCGAAGAAGGACGCAAATCACCCAGGAATGAAAAGAGACCCCTGCAAAGTAACATGGAACCTGCACAAACAACCAGGGCTTCCCCAAAACGAAGACACATTGATCAACATCCAGCACCAAACACTCTAGGTGCCGCCATGTGCCGCCCAAAAAGACACACCGAAACTGCCTCACATAAGTCACTCTCCCTCTGGAAGTGAACAGGTGGCTATTTTTAAACTGCGGACGCACATCTGCCCCCCCCCCTCAAGAGAACCCGAGGGTTCAAACCATTAAAACACTGGTCTAGTCAATATAACCAGCATTTTACTGGGATCCAACAGTTGGGTCGACTGGGCCATTCTTTTTCAACGGGCTTTGAGAACCTGTCGTCGGGCTCCATGACCTCAGCTCGGCCTTGCCGTCCGCGCGGATCAGGGCGAAGGCCTTGGACCACTGCTTGGAGCCTCAGCCGCTCGATCTTCGCGATCGAATCGGGGAATCCGCGGGGCACCGGCGGCGTTTGTGGGAACTAACTGGGCTGCCCTCAGATCCCCCCGCCGAAAAGCCAAACAGTTTTTAACGTTTAGTGGGTGACATGGAAACCACCCGCCTAAACACAAAAAAGCCAAAAAGCCAAGGAGCCGGATGGATGGGGGCCACCAAGGGAAGGAGTTGTATGTTGCAAATGAAGTCGGCAACTCCCTCCAGTCTGATGCATTCCGATTTGGGGAGCAGGTCGAAAATTCTGGATCCAGAGAGCCCCAAAGCAGGATATCCTTCTGGGAGAGTTTCCCTGACGGGCTGTTTGGGCTCCATCTTCATTTTCCCAAAAAGGTGCCACGGGAGAGTCATGCGCCGCAGTCGGAGCTCTCCTGGAGCCTCGTCATGTGGCAATCCCAACAAACTGCGCAAGTTAGCATCATTCACTCACCTGAAACAAAAGAGGCCCCTGTGGATAGACCAATACTCATCCCACAGCGCACCTCTTGGTGGCTGATCCCAGTACTCGCAGGGCTTCATCCATCCCAATTGTCCATCCAGGGTGTGGATGAGGTCACAAACCGCCTTTGTGAAGTAGCCATTTCAGTGGAACAGAATACGTATCGACAGTTTGCCCGAAAGAAGATGGTTCCTTTCCTGTCCCCTCCAATCACTCAAGGGAAAATCAACATGGATTTCAATCACCCACCCATATGAGGCCTCCAAACACTCGGCCCTTAACCGGGGATCGTGCAAACGGGGGCGTTCCCGGGCAGTTTCAGGCGGTTTTGCTTTTTCTTGGCTGGCGCACACCCCGCACATCCGGTTTATCAGGCTATTTTGGTCTGTTTTGTGTCTGCCTGAACCTGGCTGAAATCCAAACCCCTTACGGCGACCCCCGTTAAGGGCTCTCTGAAAATAGGGGAACCCCCCCAAAAGAAAGTGGGTTTCCCTTAGTTTGCCTTTGACACGCCAAACACAAAGTACCCTTGTAAAGCACATACCCGTACAAAGAGCCCCGAACGAATTCAGGCACACAGGTTTTACATAGAGGATGAGAAGTAGAGTGTCAGCCATCCCAACAAATGAGTCCCTTGAATCACAAAAACCCTGCTTCTCCACCACACCATTCACCGGATCAGCCACGAAAAAACGCGGTGGCTTGCTGCTTTGAGGCTGGAAACCGTCGACCCATCGACGTCAGGAACCTGTACTTGGCTTTGCTTTGGTTGTCCAACCCCCCTTTTCCCCCTCCCAGTACGGTGGACACTTGGGGTCTATTTGATTTTTAGTGTTCTTGGTTGCGAAATAGACTCTAGGTGTCCATGACCTCCCCCCCCCTGACCACCCCCGGCTCTTTCAGGGGGGCGCATGTCGAACCTCCCCCCCCTCCGGAGACGGTTTTCTCGGGAGCCGGGGCGCAGAGGGAGGCGCAGCCGGCCACCGCGCAGAGCGTGTCCCCGTCCTCGAGCTGCGCCTCCTGCAGCGTCCAGCGCCGCCGCAGCGGCCTCGCCTGGAACCCACGAGCCGAAGCCCAGGTTTCGTCTGCATGGGTGTCCTCCAGGTCACCCTGAAGCAGACAGCTAAAAAAGGAGGTCCAGCCCTTCACCCCTTAAAAGGCATGTGACAAACTAATTACCCTCCTGCAGATTAGCATGGAGCTCAACAAACACAGGTGTAGGTTCAAGACAGCACATTTACCAGTCATGAATGACACACGGAGAAATAGCAACCTGAAGCTTTTTTGATCGGCTTGCAGGGAATCGCCCAAGCCTTTTCAAAATCCTCCGCTGTAGCCCCTGACCAAACATGTCATCCTCGCATTGCGCTCAATATTTAGGTAAGAGAGAGAGAGAGAGAAAAAAAAAAGCCTTGCAATGTAGAATGATCTGCGCTAAGTACCACTAGTCCCTACACAAGCGTGAAACTACCAAGCCATTTGCTGGTTCGCCATCCATGTCAACTTCTGGTGCTTCCTCAACTGCTTGCTCTCGCTCGTCAGAGCTTGAAGTTGACCAGCTCCATTGAGCAGCGCAAAAACAAACCTACAGCCTCACTGTCAGGCCGGCTCTCTCGCTGGGCGAGCTCGCTTTCCGACGCCATACCTACCCTCCAGCCATCAATCATGGAAGTGCGCACCCCTGGTTCACACAATTTTCCAGGCATACATGGTACCTTCACCCCCCACCCCCGCCGCAAAGGCGCCCCCAAAGGTCAAGAGTTGGTACGCCTTAGGCCAAAGAAGGACACCTTTTAGGAAGACAAGTGTTCTTCTGGACAGGGAAAATGTGATCTTCCATGTGTCTTGGGAGGCCAACCCTTCTAAAGAGGAATGCCTTCAAACGGCATGGGTCTCTTCAGGGAACAGATCCCTTGTCTTCAGTGCGCCAAAGTCTCTCACACCCGCCTGGCCAGCGCACAGTAAGCCTGACGGTTTGCCAAGCGAGCTTCTTCGAGCCGGGATAGAAAATGCGGTGGACAAGATCCTGCACCGAGGGTACACGAAATTCCTGGAAATACTACAAACCACCCACAGGATTTTGTTCATCGGAAGACTAGTGGAACAAATATTAGTTTCTGCCTTTAGCTCTCAGCAAGCCGAGATTTGGGTGAAGTGTCATCGAGTCATCCGGGATTCATACTTGGGGTTTCATTGCTTTCTCTCAACAAGGAGACTCCAAAACACATCATGCGTGGTGTAAGTTCCTGCAAGCCACGGGTTCTTCTAACTCCCATTGGCGTAGCCGTTTCCCGAAAGATGCGTAAACGTTTCTGTGTGCCTCACATCTATCCAAACCACTTTTGGGCAAATAAAACAATCCCGTCCCAGAAAGGTCTCTGGGTGAACTGCCCTTCAAACACTGAATTTTTGGGGCTCTTCGAGGTATCCCCCGTTCGTGGCACCCCCTTCCGCTGGTTTCCTCAAACCGTGAGGCCACGAGGCCACGTGTTGGTGTACACCATTCCATGGCCGTGGGCTTTTACCCTCAAAGGGCCGAGTGGGATATCTTAAAGTGGAGGGCAGGAAAAAACACAACACAAAGGCACCTTTATATAACTTCTATTTGCAGGGCTCATACTTCTTCCGCAAGAAGAAACTCACCTACAATTGATCCAAAATCTGATGTTTGGACTGGCCCAGAAGGGGAATATGGGGACCGCTGATCTTCCTAAGCTATTTGCAATGGTCTAGGCCCGTGTCGCCAAATCGCTGCTGGTTTCCTTCCAAGAGTTTTCTCGTGCGGCCTAAACGGTGGCTAATATGTCACAGGCGTTTTGCACAAAAAGGCGGTGGGTTTCCCTTCAACGAAGCCATACCGGGCACAACAAACACGACACACGCGCCCACCACACGTCTGCTCTCCGATGCCCACCGGATCCGAGTGGCCGGAGATGCTGCGCTGGAGCTTCCGCTGCGCCTCCTGCCACAGTTCTGCCACGGAGCTCCTTTGGTGGAACCCGCCCAGCTGGACGCCCTCCCCGCTCCTCGCGTGCGGGTGGATAAGGCAAGGAAGCCGAGTGCCTGGATGAAAAATCGGTTTTGAGTCTCTGTGTATTTTGAGGAAGCATCAAAAAAAAACCACAGCTTGCAGGCTAAGGTTGACGAGTAAGCAACGAAAAACCAAAACCTCTCCAGGTTGAAGGGGAAGCAAAGAAAACACAGCTTTGGGGTCAAATGAAGGTGACACAGATCAGCAAAAAGGTTGAATACTGAATGTGATGCACCCCTTATAGAACTAGAGAGCACCTTTTCAAAGGCTATGAAACTTCAATGGCTCTGCAATACTTCTTGGTGAATTCCGAATTCGTTTGCCGACCCAACATTGGGAGCCACCTGGTCAAACCCAGAGATGGACACAAGGCAGTGCTAGCTGGAACCACTGGGTGGCATTCACCCCATTCGCTTCAGCAGTCATGAACAAAATAACACACGTGTCCGCATGTGGTCCTACAGATGTTTCTCTCACGCGCCTGGGAGAAAAAAGAAAACAAAAAAACAAAAAAAACACGCTTCTCAAGAGATTTCACGCATGGCATAGGCATGCCATAAAGCCCTGCCCTCTAACTTTAACACAGGTTACTCTCGACTCGCGCTGTTGCTGGCTTGGGAACTGAAACTTCCTCTTGAAACAACATGGGAAGACTCCCCCCCAACTAACAAGCCACCCCAGTAATAAGGGGGCAAGGGCCAGAACAATCATTTACAAATTGGAATCGCGGGGTAACACTTTGACTTCGGATTCATCCGGACACCCGCGTCAATCAGCGGTTCGCTCTTCAGATAGTGCTTTCAGGCGGTTCTTGGGGGGTCTCCTCGATTCATCTGAAGTCATTGTACCAGCGGCTACCCCATGTCGTGGCTTGCTTTGAAAAAGACAAGCCAAATGGTCCCCAAGCATTATGCCAACGGAACACGAGCCAGCTTTCGGCCGCAAGCAACCCAAAAATAAATAAGTTAAAACAACATAAATAGATTAATATATATATATATAATGTACGTATATATATATATATATTTGTTCAGCGCTCAAAATCCGTTGACTGTTGGTTCTGCTATCATGGCTATAATCCTGGATAGAACCACTATTAATATATTTATCAATATCATCCATATCTGTTCTACTATTCTTATAGGGATTGCCGGAATCCTTGTGGATGTGTGGCGTGCGTAACCGGGATCCTTTTTTTGATTGGGCTTGAAGGGACACCAAAAGCAAACCGACCATTATCCACCTGGGTTCTGGCTTTTATCAAAACACTACCATCCGAACGTACCTTAGGTAGTGGGTTCACTGCCATCGCAAACGTGACCCTGAACAATTCTCGGACGCATCTGGCAAAGGGCCTCTTTGTGGGCGAATTGCGGGTGAGCAAATGTCAGAACAAATGTCAGAACATGCGATCTTTTCCATCAGGAATCAGAACTGGTGAGACTCACGGACCTGGCCGATTCTGCCTGGACAGCTTTCTTGCGGCTTACTTGTTGACCCCAGTTTACGCTGTTTGGGGGGGAGGAATGAGGGTTCCTCATCTCGAAGGGGTCATAAGAGGCAAGCCCCGGACAAGGATGCAATGCTCTGCAACAGGTCAAAGATCTTATTCCCACGCTAACGTTGACCACACTTCCTCCAAAGAAGGATCCCAGTTGTCGATCAATCAAATACTTCGTACTCCAGCATGGCAGACTGGGGCCGCTCTCGAAGAGCATTTTCAACTCAAGGGGCCTTCTGGTGGCTTCCAAGTTAGTTGTTGGGAGAGTACTACCCATGTCGGACCAGCTTGTAGTGCTGTTTCTATTTTCTGAGCACGTATAAGATTTCATCAACTGCTGCGGAGTGGATTTTGTCCACTCACGGCATGTTTGCATTTGTGCTTCCAGTCAAAAAGCAAGGGGCTGGATGATTCCGCTACAAAGCTCCAATTTATTTTTCTTCAGCTGGTTTCCATCCGGGCAATGCCAAGGAAGTCCCGGAAAACGGTCCCAAGAAACGGGCACGTCGACACTCGACTCAGCCAGGGCTCAGCAAGACCACGTTGACGCAAACCGTCATGGCACGTGACGACGGTCACGCACCACTGAAACCACGCGTCTCACGCGTCGGAGATGGACTATGGGATGTTCGTCACCCACAGTCCTCTGGGTCCAATGTCAACTTTGCATTCATATGGACCGTGATGGACCGTGATGGACCGTGATAATTTGTCTTTGGCTACACATTTTGACCCCCACTACTGTTGCTTGTTCCTTTCCGAGTTCTGCTGGGTCTCTTTCGAGTGAGCTTTGCCCACGTAAAATTCAGAGTTTTGTTAGATTAAACTTGGTCTACCCACGGACTACTGTAATTCAGGTAACATGTTCCACCAACACCCTCGGTATGGCCAAACGCAAGGCCCAGACTCCAAGCGCGCTGTACATTGCGGTTGAGGGAGCCTTCGAGCGGGAAAGCAGCGCGGCTGGGCAGGTGCGGCACATGGCTCTCCATCCGCGGTATTTCGCCTGACAAGTTCTACTACGTCCTCAAGTAGAGAGGCTAGAATAAGTTGGTACCCGATTTTTTTCTGGAGTTTATTTTTGTGGGGGAACCCTCCCCCCAAAAAGGGTGAGAAAGGGCACTACTGCGGGACCCAGTCTAGCAAGCTATTGTTGGCATAAGCAATGAAACACTGTGAGTGGCTGGGTGACGGGCCAAGGGCCACCATCCCCGGCCAAGGCTTCTAAATCAGAAGAAATTGGATCCGATGTTGGAACCATGAGAGAAGGAACACACCTTCCGAAACAAGGTTCTCCTTTTTCTAGACCTTTATATAAGCACACTTGGCATTCCCGATAAAATCAACTACCAGCGGAACCCATGGTGGGGAGACCCAAAGGGTTGGGGCCTCACAGGAGCACGTGGTTTTGGTCTCACCGGCACACGTGGACACTCCAGGCGTTTCTGGTCTCACAGGAGCATGTGGTCGCTCAAAGTACTGCGCCTGCCACGAAATCCAGCCACAAATCTGCGCTCTCGCAGGCTGCTTCACAAGCGTGTGCGTGCTAATGTAGCGCGCGGGCGCAGCTTTTCAAGCGTCGGAGCACGCAGCGGCTCGGGTCTCACAGGAGCATGTGAGCGCTCCAAACCATTCAAAATAACGTGCCTGCTACGAAATCCAGCTCCAAAACCCGCGCGGGACCTGGCTTCAACTGCACTCATGCAGGTCGCTTCACAAGCATGCGCGTGCCAATTTAGCGCGCGGGCGCAGCTTTTGGAGCGTCGGCGCACGCAGCGGCTCGGGCCTCACAGGAGCACGTGAGCGCTCCAAGTCACTCAAAAAAGTGCGCCTGCCACAAAATCCAGTTCCAGGAAGGACCTGGCTTCCTTGTGACGGGGGGGGGTTGGACGGGGGGGGTGGTAAGCACACCCGCTCAAGTGCACCCGCTCAGCACTGCATCCACGCACGCAAAAGAGGAGGAAGCGCGCCTGCTCAAGCGCGGAGAGGGGTGGGGGGGGTGGGGGGGTGGGGGGGGGGGGGGGGGCGGGGGGGGGGGTGGGGGGGGGGGGATGGTAAGCACCCTCAAGTGCGCCCGCTCAGCACTGCATCCACGCACGCGAAAGAGAAAGCGCGCCTGCTCAAGCGCACCCTCTCAGCACTGCATCCACGCATGCGGGGGGGGGGGGGGGGGTTGGGGGGGGGGGGGGAGGGGGTGGGGGAGGGGGATGGTAAGCACACCAGCTCAAGCGCACCCGCTCAGCACTGCATCCACGCACGCGAAAGAGGAAGCGCGCCTGCTCAAGCGCACCCGCTCAGCACTGCATCCACGCATGCGGAGGGGGGGTTGGGGGGGGGGGGGGCGGGAGGGGGATGGTAAGCACACCCGCTCAAGTGCACCCGCTCAGCACTGCATCCACGCACGCGAAAGTTAGGATTTGGACCAAGCCAACATCAAATCAACGCGAGTCTTCGGATTTACGGAAAATTGAGGTCTTACCAGTTGTCCCTGCCAGTGGCGCAAAAAGGGAAACGAGATGGCAACCATCTAATATCACACTTGATGCGCTGGACAAAATGCAAGGTGGCGCCCCGTGCATCCCTGGATGGGATCAAGCATGGATGAAAGGCTTGCACGCGCGTACGCTACTAGTCCTTTTTTGCTTACATGCGCGTGCGAGGCTCACGTGCTTTGCCTTTTTGGGGGACATGCGCGGTATCACATGCGCCGGCGAGACCCACGAAAAACTTGCCCAAAGTACCGCACCTACCACGAAATCCAGCCCTCTACATGCGCGGGCGAGACCAAATTTACGTGCGCGTGCGCTCGCGAGGCCGTGACCCATATTGTGAGCCTATTTGTCCAACAAAGAACCCTCTTCCCATCAAACGTGGGCAGGCCGCCCTTTTACGATAGCTTTAAGCACACACCCCGCCGGCATTCCCATGTTGGAAAAGGGTGGTCTTGCGACCACGCCGAATGCCCAACATCGACTCGCCAGGTTTTCCGAGTTCTCCAGTGGCTGGAAAAAGCCTTCACTTGAAGGGGGTTCCGTGGCTTCATTAATGGAAGCTTGTTGTCCCGCCCCCCCCCCGGCGCGTTCGGCATGCAGGGGTTTCATGCTCGTTGGGGCTGCCTTGATACAAGAAATCTTCAACAACACTTACACATGGGATGTACCAAAATAGCCCCCCCGCCCACAAACACAAAATACCCCCCCCCCCCCCACAAAAAACAAATGGCGCTTTCTTTTTGGTTGTCCAAGGTAAAACAAAGGGTACCAAGCCTCAAAAAAAAGCACAGCCCCAAATGGAAACCCCCCAGTTGTCCAAACAAAAACACCAAATGTGTCCCAACCTCTCCCCCCTCCCAGTTTTCCGAAGCAAACAAACACACGCGTCTCCCAAACCCAAAAACGATTAGACAACTTGTCAATGAACAAACACGTAGCGTACAGCGTTTATTGCCTGATAATCGTTTATCCCAACCCAAAACATGATTATTAAAAAGCAGAACACACACACACAAAAAAACAAAGAAATAAACAGCAAAACATACTCGTATACCTAATACCATCCGAATACCTGGGGGGGAAAACAACAAAAACCACGCTTTCCGCTGCTGTCTCCAGAAGTCTAAGGCCTTCACACCTGCAGCTTCCCCGCCCTCTTCAAGTCCACCGCCTGCTCAGTGGCCTCCGCTGGGAGAGGCCAACCGCGAGTCGCAGGTGAACCCCACGGGCTGGTGGGGGTAACCACGGGCACGCGAAACAGGTTGCATTTTCAGATCCTTTACTTAAAACGTAAACGGTTTGGAGGGACAAACATGATGGACCTTCGGATTCTTTAAACGGTAAAGGTTTGGAGGAGACCTGGGTTGCGGGGGGGGGTTGAAACCGGGGACAAAACATCTGAAATGCACTCAGTGGATTTAAGGGACAGCCCCATCATCCACACCTCCCAAAGACTCCGCCTTCAACCCTTGGACTGGGTTCATGACATCAAAACTACCATGGTAAGGGGCGCCACCACCCCTCCAAGCATCTAACATCACTCCTAAGAAACTCAAAGGCCTCTCCCGAAAGATGCGGCGTGCCTTGTAGGGGGTCCACTTTTGGGTTGGTTTTAAAGGGACACCCAAAGAAAACTAGCCATGGTCGGCCATGGTTGGGGGTCTTGTTGTAGGGAAGCAAACAGAAAACCAGCCTGAAGGTTTGTTGTGGGGGGGCAGGTAGTTTGAAACAAACGCATGTTTGAACCAGGATGACCCGTTAACCCAGGAAACAAAAGAAGCCATGAAGCACAGCGTTGGATTTCAGTCCGAACTGGGGCATCTCAGGGTCGCGTTGCAGAAATGCGCAACTTCAAGATCTGCAACTTGAAACAAACCTGGGCTGCCGCCCTCAAATCCCCCGCTAAAAGCTCAACTTTTAGTGGGTTAAATGGAAATTACCACTAAACACTAAAAGGCTAAAAAGCTAAGGGGATGGCTGGGAGCCACTAAGAGTTAAACGTCGGGTCAATTGCTTGCCGCCAAATCGAGACTCGGCAAACTGTCGCGCCTGTCAATAGCGCAAAACAACTCCGACCCGGCCACGCAGCGGCCAGGCCGGCACGGCATTTAGAGGCAATGTGTCTTCTAGGTAGCTTCCGACGCCTTCCATGTTAGCTTCAGGGAGTGTATCTGAATATGTGGTTTCATGGAAGTCTTTCCGCCCCAGACCTTCCTCGGCGACTCGAATGAATCCATGTTTTCCCACTAAGCACCAAGTCAAACTAGTCAGAGAGGACACCTACTTCAGCACGTGTCCCCCAAACAAGCGACATTCAAGGTCCATTGAGCTAGGCCAGTGGCAGATCCGCCGTAAAAACCGATCCCAGATACAATCTACAAATTTGAGGTAGAGGACAACCCACATTCTGGGATCGTTGAAACTGTGCTTCCACGCCCCAAGCTGTTGCTGCTGCTCGTTCATGGATTTCGGTTGCTTGTGCAACCTAGGGGTGAGCAGCTTCCGCTGCGTTCTCGCGCCATAAGAGGTCAGGCAGCATCGTCATGTCTGTCTTTTTTGAGGGTGCCTGGTCTTGTTGGGGGGGTTCCCCACGGAAAAGACGCATTGCCAACATCGGCCAACATGAACACATCGTCTTTTCTTTATGGCTGGGGAAAGCGGGGTGCGTGGCCAAAGCTCGTGCAAAGCGCCGGGAAGGCGCGAAGATTGACTTCCGCGACTTCCGCGTGTGATTCTGTGTTTTCGTGTTGGCCCTCGGCCCTCCTTTGCGATACACGCACGAAATATGGCTAGGTCCTCCAGGAGAGAGGTTACAATAAGGGCACCCTTTCTTTCTGTAGTCTATTTTAGTAGGGGACCCTCCCCCGAAAAAGGCTAAACCTAGAACATGTCCCTAGCCCTCGCCCTTCCGCATCTCTTCCACGCAGTGTGAAGCTCATGGACAATCTGAACAATGAAGCGAATCCATGGGCTTTGGCACCAACCATAGCTCTTTAATGTTGAGCCACACCCACGTGACGAAAGTCCGAAACGGAACGCAGGGACGTGCGCGCCTGCTCCAGCAGATCCTCCTCCAGGCCCAGCTTCAGCACGCAGTGGCCCTCGAATCGAACGAGTCGCTAGGGGCGGTGTGGGGAGCACCCAAGTGACGGTTTTGGGGATAGGGGTGGTGTGGGTGGTGAAGGGACCGTTTTGGGGATAGGGGTGGTGTGGGGAGGGGTGTGAAGGGACGGGTGGTGTGGGGAGCACCCAAGGGACGGTTTTGGGGATAGGGTGGGGGGTGCGGTTTTGGGGATAGGGGTGGTGTGGGTGCCAAGGGACGGTTTTGGGGATAGGGGGTGTGGTGGGGAGGGGTGCCCAAGGGACGGTTTTGGGGATAGGGGTGGTGTGGGATCCTTGGGGGGCATTTTTCGGATCAGGGACCTGAAGCCGATGAGAAGCATGGTCTTCAAGAAGGGGTCAGATGTGCGAGTTCCGTGGATCACTTTTAATTGAGGCAGGTGAAAAGTTCAAAGCCGACTTGGGTTCGGATTTAGAGCTCGGCTGAGGCCGCAAATGGATCCGCCAAAGCCTGCGTGCCCCTTTGGCCCCAACCGGCTCTGCGGAAAAAACAAACAACTGCACCCTCCGACTACTGCTTTCATTTTATGTTCGTAACTACCGTCTATTTAGCAGTAGTTCCGCCAATAAAATAAAAGACAGTAGATCCCTGAGATACGTTCGTTTCACGTGCTTTCCCAAACAGTTAAAAACAAGCCTATATGTTATATCCCCACCCCTTCCCAAGCCCACGGGGAAACACGCAAGTGACCCGCAGTTGACACGCGGTCTCACGCAGGCGACACGATGGCGACACGGGGTGACACGGGGGCGACATGGGGGACACGGGGTGACACGCTAAAACTATTGTTGTTCGCAGCGATCTACTGTTGTTTTAGTATATTGATACGACACGGGGTGACCCGGGGTGACACGCAGGTGACACGGGGTGACACGCAAGTGACACGGGGTGAGATGCACGCGCTTGCTGCACTTGCTGCCACCCCTCGATTGCTACCACACCTGCTATGGCATCTCCCTGTTGTAAGCAGTAGATAGCAGTAGTTAGAATATGGGCATCCCGCAAATAAAATAATTAACGGTAGTTTTTCTAACTACCGTCTTTTTCTGGAGAATTCTATTTACTGCCCCCTGGGCAGTAGTCGGAGGGTGCTGGAACCTTTGGCTTATCTCACACCAGCGCGAGACGCCAAGAGGAACACTCAGGTGACGCCCAGCTGGGAAGCCCTTGAGCCAGTCGACCCATGGCTCTGTGGATCTCGCTCCAAAGCCGAGGAACCCTCGCCAAAGGAAGTGGACGATCGGAGGCTTTCAGGCCTCGAAGAAACGGACTCAGGTACACAGACAGTAGCGTCTGAGTTGATTTCATCTTTGCTTGTCACACAGAAGGGATTGGTCTCGCGCCCCTGTAGTTGATAAACTCAAAGGGCGATTGGGCAAGCGAGCAGGGACACCGACACAGAGAGACACAGAGACACAAAGACACACCGACACACAGAGACACGGAGACACGGAGACACGGAGACACGGAGACACGGAGACACGGAGACACAGAGACACAGAGAGACGGAGACACGGAGACACGGAGACACGGAGATACGGAGACACGGAGACACAGAGACACAGAGAGACAGAGACACGGAGACACGGAGACACGGAGATACGGAGACACTGAGACACAGAGACACAGAGACACAGAGACACAGAGACACGGAGACACAGAGACACAGAGACACAGAGACACAGAGACACATGACACAGAGAAACAGAGACACAGAGACACAGAGACACAGAGACACAGAGACACAGAGACACAGAGACACAGAGACACAGAGACACAGAGACACAGAGACACAGACACACAGAGACACATGACACAGAGACACAAAGACACAAAGACACGGAGACACGGAGACACGGAGACACGGAGACGCAGAGACGCAGAGACACATGACACAGAGACACAGAGACACAGAGACACAGAGACACGCAGACACAGAGATCCAGAAACACAAACACACAAAGACACAGAGTCGCAGAGACACAGAGACGCAAGGACACAGAGACACAACGACACAGAGACGCAAGGACACAGAGACACATGACACAGAGACACTCAGACAAAGCGACACAGAAACACAAAGACACAAAGACACAGAGTCACAGAGACACAGAGACGCAAGGACACAGAGACACAGAGACACAGAGACGCAAGGACACAGAGACACATGACACAGAGACACAGAGACACAGAGACACAGAGACACAGAGACACAGAGACACAGAGACACAGAGACACAGAGACACAGAGACACAGAGACACAGAGACACAGAGACACATGACACAGAGACACAAAGACACAAAGACACAAAGACACGGAGACACGGAGACACGGAGACACGGAGACACAGAGACACAGCGACACAGAGACACGGAGACGCAAGGACACAGAGACACAGAGACACAGAGACACAGAGACACAGACACATGACACAGAGACACAGAGACACAGAGACACAGAGACACAGAGACACAGAGACACAGAGACACAGAGACACAGAGACACAGAAGACTTAGAGACACATGACACAGAGACACAAAGACACAAAGACACGGAGACACGGAGACACAGAGACAGAGAGACACAGAGATACAGAGACACAGAGACACAGAGACACAGGGACGCAGAGACACAGAGACACAGAGACACGAGGACACAGAGACACAGAGACACAGAGACACAGAGACACATGACACAGAGACACAGAGACACAGAGACACACTGACACAGACGCACCGAAACACCGACACACAGAGACAGAGAGACACAGAGACACAGAGACACGGAGACACAGAGACACAGAGACACACAGACACATGACACAGAGACACAGAGACACCGAGACACAGAGACACAGAGACACAGAGACACATGACACAGAAACACAAAGACACAGAGACACGGAGACACGGAGACACGGAGACACGGAGACACAGAGACAGAGAGACAGGGAGACACAGAGACACAGAGACACGGAGACACACGGAGACACGGAGATACGGAGACACTGAGACACGGAGACACGGAGACACAGAGACACAGAGACACGGAGACACGGAGACACGGAGACACGGAGATACGGAGACACTGAGACACGGAGACACGGAGACACAGAGACACAGAGACACGGAGACACAGAGACACAGAAACACATGACACAGAGACACAGAGACACAGAGACACAGAGACACAGAGACACAGAGACACAGAGACACAGAGACACAGAGACACAGAGACACACAGAGACACAGAGACACAGAGACACAGAGACACAGAGACACAGAGACACAGAGACACAGAGACACAGAGACACAGAGACACAGAGACACAGAGACACAGAGACACAGAGACACAGAGACACAGAGACACAGAGACACAGAGACACAGAGACACAGAGACACAGAGACACAGAGACACAGAGACACAGAGACAGACACAGACACAGAGACACAGAGACACAGAGACACAGAGACACAGAGACACAGAGACACAGAGACACAGAGACACAGAGACACAGAGACACAGAGACACAGAGACACAGAGACACAGAGACACAGAGACACAGAGACACAGAGACACAGAGACACAGACACAGACACCCAGAGACACACAGAGACACAGAGACACAGAGACACAGAGACACAGAGACACAGAGACACAGAGACACAGAGACACAGACACAGAGACACAGAGACACAGAGACACAGACACAGAGACACAGAGACACACAGAGACACAGAGACACAGAGACACAGAGACACAGAGACACAGAGACACAGAGACACAGAGACACAGAGACACAGAGACACAGAGACACAGAGACACAGAGACAGACACAGAGACACAGAGACACAGAGACACAGAGACACAGAGACACAGAGACACAGAGACACAGAGACACAGAGACACAGAGACACAGAGACACAGAGACACAGAGACACAGAGACACAGAGACACAGAGACACAGAGACACAGAGGCACAGAGACACAGAGACACAGAGACACAGAGACACAGAGACACAGAGACACAGAGACACAGAGACACAGAGACACAGAGACACAGAGACACAGAGACACAGAGACACAGAGACACAGAGACACAGAGACACAGAGACACAGAGAGAGACACAGAGACACAGAGACACAGAGACACAGAGACACAGAGACACAGAGACACAGAGACACAGAGACACAGAGACACGGAGACACAGAGACACACACATGACACAGAGACACAGAGACACAGAGACACAGAGACACAGAGACACAGAGACACAGAGACACACAGACACAGAGACACAGAGACACAGAGACACAGACACAGAGACACAGAGACACAGAGACACAGAGACACAGAGACACAGAGACACAGAGACACAGACACAGAGACACAGAGACACAGAGACACAGAGACACAGAGACACAGAGACACAGAGACACAGAGACACAGAGACACAGAGACACAGAGACACACAGAGACACAGAGACACAGAGACACAGAGACACAGAGACACAGAGACACAGAGACACAGAGACACAGAGACACAGAGACACAGAGACACAGAGACACAGAGACACAGAGACACAGAGACACAGAGACACACAGAGACACAGAGACACAGAGACACAGAGACACAGAGACACAGAGACACAGAGACACAGAGACACAGAGACACAGAGACACAGAGACACAGAGACACAGAGACACAGAGACACAGAGACACAGAGACACAGACACAGAGACACAGAGACACAGAGACACAGAGACACAGAGACACAGAGACACAGAGACACAGAGACACAGAGACACAGAGACACAGAGACACAGTGACACAGAGACACAGAGACACAGAGACACAGAGACACAGAGACACAGAGACACAGAGACACAGAGACACAGAGACACAGAGACACAGAGACACAGAGACACAGAGACACAGAGACACAGAGACACAGAGACACAGAGACACAGAGACACAGAGACACGGAGACACAGAGACACGGAGACACAGAGACACAGAGACACAGAGAGACACAGAGACACAGAGACACAGAGACACAGAGACACAGAGACACAGAGACACAGAGACACGGAGACACAGAGACACAGAGACACATGAGCACTGTTTTTTAGAGGTTCAGGGCTTATACACTGCTGGGGAGGCTACGCGGGGGGCATTGCGGGGCCAGAGTTTGTGGAAGGGTTGGCTTCGCAAGGCTTCGCGGTGGCTTCGCCGGGCTTCGCGGATGTTTGTTCCACAAACATCTCTGACGTTTGCGCTCCCATGTTGTTGAATCAAGTTGTGTCCATGCCAAAGGGGGCGATGAAAGGCGGCAAGAGAGGCATTGGGCTTCAGCACTAGGGGACATGGCTGGGCCTCAAAGGGGCGGAGCATGGAAGTTGGCCCGCGGTAGCTTCGCGGTGGCTTCGCGGAGGCTTTGCGGGGGCTTCGCGAGGGCTTCGCGGGGGCTTCGCAGAGGCTTTGCGAAAACGTTCCATCGTTTCTGGCAAAACCGGGGCTGAACCGCACAGTGCTCTTCTGGTCGTCTTCCCGTACTCTTCCTGAAATCTTGTCGTAGCTTGCCTAGCTTGCTGACTCTAAGCATCAACCTTTGGAATACTACTGCCATGGCAGCGCACAACACACTTGCCATGAAAGCACGCAACACACTCAAACCACGAAGTGGCTTCGCGAAGTGGCTTCGCCTGTGGCAATGTTACCGGGCTACGCGACGTGCCTTCGCGGGGCTTCGCGGTACACAATGTATCACACAAGTGCCTTCGCGGACCTTTTGGGAGTTCCTCACAAAGCTAAAATCCATCATCTGAGAAAAAACGCTGCTCACATGACACAGAGACACAGAGACACAGAGACACAGAGACACAGAGACACAGAGACACCGAGACACAGAGACACAGAGACACAGAGACACAGAGACACAGAGACACAGAGATACAGAGACACAGAGACACAGAGACACAGAGACACAGAGACACAGAGACACAGAGACACAGAGACACAGAGACACAGAGACAAGGAGACACAGAGACACGAAGACACAGAGACACGGAGACACGGAGACATAGAGACGCAGAGACACATGACACAGAGACACAAAGACACAGAGACACGGAGACACGGAGACACGGAGACACGGAGACACAGAGACACGGAGACACAGAGACACAGAGACACAGAGACACAGAGACACAGAGACACAGAGACACGGAGACACGGAGACACAGAGACACAGAGACACAGAGAAACAGAGACAGAGACACAGAGACACAGAGACACAGAGACACAGAGACACAGAGACACGGAGACACGGAGACACGGAGACACGGAGACACAAAGACACAAAAACACAGAGACACAGAGACACAAGGACACAGAGACACAGAGACATAGAGACGCAAGGACACAGAGACACAGAGACACAGACACACACACACACAAGACACACACACACACACGCCACATACAAACACACACACACACACACACACACACACACACACACACACACACACACACACACACACACACACACACACACACACACACACACACACACACACACACACACACACACACACACACACACACACACACACACACACACACACACACACACACACACACACACACACACACACACACACACACACACACACACACACACACACACACACACACACACACACACACACCCACGCACGCACGCACGCACGCACGCACGCACGCACGCACGCACGCACCCACCCACCCACCCACACGCACGCACGCACGCACGCACGCACGCACGCACGCACGCACGGACGCACGCACGCACGCACGCACGCACGCACGCACGCACGCACGCACGCACCGAACACGACACTATGCCTAGGACAATATTATTGCCGCCTTTTGCAGGGCTACCCTTTCGCGCGCTTGTTTCAAAGGAACAAACAACATGCAGAGGCAAAACCACACACCGCATATTGCTGGCTCCGGGACCGAATGTCAAGACGCGGCCGGCGCCGGAACTCCGGAGACTGCGCGCCTTAAATCTCAAGCTGTGGCCGATCTCCGAGACCAAGCGCTCCAAGGGCATCCTGACTTTGCATCGAGCGGATTGGGAAGCAAAACGTGTCCCAAAGTGTTGCTTTGCCGCCGAGTGCTCATGTGACCATGGGTCAAAATCCCGTACCCCCAGTGAACATCCCAATCCCCACTAAAATAGAATTCTTAGTCCCCGCAAAACTCAGCTGCAACCAGTTCCAGCCAGCGACCCGAGTATCCAACATACCCCAGACATTTGAACACGTGCTTCCATCTATTCAATGAACAATGACGTAAACCACATTGTAGCCAGGAGGATCAGCTTTCCACCCTTAAGGTGATGGGCTGGTGTTGCTTGTCATCCCAAATCAACATGAACGCATATCGCACCCGACAATACCCCAGTAATATTGTATGTTGCTGATATGCTCTTTACGGCCCTTAGCTCCTGCGCAATCACAGTGCCAGTGCTTGCTTTGAGCGGAAGGATCCCTCCAGAGTGACAGCCCTACAAGCAGCACAGGACAATGATTTCTATCGGAAAGCGTGGACTACTGACTAATGCCGGGAGAATCGAAAAGGGCCCGTCAAAATTGACGGATCACACATATTTGTTCCGGTGCAATTATTTTTACAACAACCAAAGAAAGGTATCTTCCTTTCGGCTTGCATGATATACATACATCTCAGAGCAAAGTCCGCACTAGATGTCAAGTACTCAGGCGCGGTCTCTGAATGTCTCTCCAAGTCGATGTCATAGCTTGGAGCATCCTGGGAGAACACACACTGCAGACGGGAGTGGCGGTTTAGTGATTACAACCTCTGTATTTGGTTGGCAAATGTAACCACTTGGATTGGTGAAACCAAAGGAACACATAGCACAAACGACGCATGTCACATGGATTTAATGCACTTTGACTCGGGCTGTTTCGTTTCAGGAAATAGCTGCCTTTGAGATAAATGGATAGTTGGCCTGTCAGTCTTGAGTAGCTGCATGCTTGCGTTGTGTGAGCTTGGATAGTAAGAGGACTTCGTAATTTCCCCTAGGTTCTTCAGACCTTTCAGACTTCCAACATCTGATACATGCTTATCACATCCGTCGACTATGCCTTGAAGGCTCCAAGTGCAGCTCGCAAGTAGGGTCGCCTCCCAATGCCGGAACGTCCGGTGCCTAAACAGGCCAAAGCTCTGGCTGTGGCCCTAGACACTTGGGCCAATCGTTTTGGATCTGTGGAGCTCTTAAACCATTGCCCCGTGTGCCCAGAATGAGTCAGAGACCAGACCGAGGCCACTGGATTGGGGGCACCATATTCGCCAACCCGAAATCCAAGACCTCCAGTGGCCATGTGAAAACAGGGGAACTAGGGGCGCCCTTGATATTAAAGGGAAGGCCCCCTCCCAACAAAAAAGAGCCTACAAAGTACCCTCCCTTCCACTAACAGAAGGCACCTATGGGAGGGCACCTGGAAGATCATTTCGCTGCGGGGACCCCCTGTCAGGTGCCATAGTGGGTGCACAAAAACAAACAAGAAACGGACATCAGAAAGTTGAACTCGACTTCAACCGTCTGCTCTTGCACCACAAGCCTTCCGCGAAATCGCTCGCACACCTGGGTTTGTCTTACAGCCAGCCGAAGAGGCGGCCTCTTTGACAACTCCTCAAACTTCAACCCCTTTCCTGGGCCAGACTTACACCCCGGCAAAAAAGTTAAACACGAACCGTTTGCCGGCTGAAAGGAAAAAAGATGGAAACACAAATTTGGCAAGTAAAAACGGCAGCCTTGGTCTGGCAATGTTTAAGGGACCCAAACCCTTGTATGTCGAATTTGACCTTTTTTTTGGCATTCTGGCAGGCCCCTTGGGCCGGGTCAGCCAGCTGGCCCCTTTTTCACGCCAGCGTCCTCCCACCCATTCACGATCGCGAAAATGCCGGTCGCCGTTCACAACAAAAATCCAGCGCCGACACCAGAGCCGGACCAAAATGGACAAGGTGCAACGAGTCTGTGAATCCTGACGTTGGGTGAAGGTAGTGGCGAGGTCAATTCCAACCCATGTTGGCAAAGGTCATCCCCTTTACTCTTCCATATCTATAGACATTGCGCCATCCATGTTCACTTTGGTTCAACTCAACCAACAATGAGTTCTAGAGGAATCTTCTTTTGGATTCTTTTTCATGGCTTCCAATTCGCAGGGGGAAGTCATCGAAACCCTCGCCGGGCGCCCGGCGAAGCCCAGGCCGAAGCCCATGTCGTCGGGGCTTCACCTAGGTCCGACTCCGGCGGATGGGCGCGGCTTTCTCTGAGAATCGTTCCGCTGGCACCTCACAGGGGGGTCCCTCCAAAGCCAACTTCCAGGCACCCTCCCATAGTTGCGATCTGTTAGTGGAAGAGAAGGTAATTTCAAATATTTGTCGCCGCCAAAATGAGCCGTCACTGTCTAAGATCAACTCGAAGGAACCTATCCAATATCCAAGGAGTCTCCTCCAAGAGTCCCAAGGCTTGGCTTGCTCAACATATGGGCCACATTTCAACTCATGACCAATACCTGGCACCAATGGGGAACAAAGAAGATGGTCAGATTCTGGTCCATGATGGCCGAAAACATAGAATATTGGAGGGGCGCTTGCTTCTGAAAGGGGCCAGTCCCTGCAATTTGGAAGGGCTTTCGGTCCCAAACCAAGATCAGGGTCACACCTATTGGTTGCTTCCACTCGGGAGACCAATGCGGATAGTACACAAAGTAGCATGGAATAGTATGCAGGTCGTTCACATAAGCCGGGTTGGTCCTAGCCCTGCGAGTTGACTTTTGCTTGGCTCTGGAGGGGATCGATGTTCCCGTTTGCTGGTTAACGACACACTTTTTGGGAAAAACGTACCGCACGGCACCAGTATTGTTTGTAGCAGGGAAAACCCAAAAGGGTTTGTCTCTGTGAAGTGAACCCACCAAAGGGAAGTGTAAACCCACTGAAAAGGGGGAATTGCGTAGGCATGCATTGGAAAGGGCACTGGGCCCCCCCCCTCCATGCTTGGTGTTTTTGCTTGGGGTGGTTTAAAGGGAGCCAGAAGGGACACAAAATCATATTCCTGGGTGCAGGGGTTCCTCAAATCCCTTTTTCTGAATTTAACGGTTTGATTTCCTGTTCATGTCATTTAAAGGGCAACCAACTTGCCCTCTCTCCGGGGCGCTTGGGGGTCCTCCCCCCTCTCTCCGGGGCCGCGGGCAATCTGCCCTCTCCACGCATGGCACTCGAGCCCAAACAAAGTGACGCACACGGGAAACTCCGGGCCATTTCCGCAACCATATACTTCCTCAAATAGGGTAACCATAAAACAGAGTAACCTCAAAATGGGGCCTCAAAATGGGTTGCCCTGGTGAATGGAAACAGTCTCGTTACCTGCTTCACCATAATAATTCGGCCTTGAACCGTGAAACGGATTTAAATCTCTGTCTGGTTGCCGGAGAAAATGGCAAGGGTCCAGAAATGCCAATAGCACCCCCCAGTCAGCTGAGAAACCTTTTTCTATGGGGGCTATGTGCAATTGCACCAAAGGTGTGCGACAATGGCTGAGTGGTAGTCTCTAAGTGGCTTTTGTCTCAAAATAGGGAGCCCCCCTGCAATAGGTGGTTTCCTTTCGGCTAGACAAGCCAAGTGGTTCTGCCATGGAAGCTGAGAGGGGTTTGGACGTCCGTCTGGCAAAGGGCCTCCCTGTCAAGATCCAGACCCAGGCACATCAACAGCAGCCTCAAGACCCACACAGCGTCATCAACGCCATAAGGGCTTCAATCATCAAGCGGAAGTTCCCTTTCGGTCAAGGGGGGATGACACCCATGGGGAAATTGTAGCACTGTTGTTCCAAGCGGAGAAGAGGGAATCCCAAGAACCTTGGGAGATGATGCCAGCATTTGCAAGGTCTGAAACCCTCATGGACTCATGGCCCCCGCTCAAACCAAAAGCGACAAGATGGTCAAGGCCGGCCCGGAGGTTCGGGGTTTGGGTTCGGATCCCAGAAACCCTGTCACGGAATCCGAGGGTCTATTTTGCAACCTTCGGGGTACTGGGCTTTTGGGGCCTGGGTCTCTGCAACATCGTCTGTGGGTGTAGCCTTTTTTTGGGAACCCACTTTGGGCTATGTTGGGCTGAAGCAAGCCAAGAGGAAACCAACCATTCTTCTAGGGCTACCTTCCGCATTCTTTCCAGGGATCCTTTTCAGGAAACCATCAAAAACCCAGGGCAAACAGCCGGTTCTTGAAAGAACGATGGTGGAAAAGAATGGGAAATCAACCCCTAGAACTCTGAGGGATTCATTTCGAAGCCCGCCCAAGTATCTACAAGTTTGTTGCGTCTAGGAGCCGATCGAGACAAGCCCCATCTCGGCTGCAAAGAAGAACCCACTTGGCTGCAACCGACACCCTCTTGGTCGTGAAGAATCCAGTGGCACTTTCTTGGTCCACTGACTCTCTCTTTGATGGAAAAGGGAAACTCGCTGAACAAAATCGACCTGGGCAAGGGCGCCACTTTCGCAACTCATTGAGCCCGACCGCCGCTTTCTTTTCTCCCCTCACTGGGCAGTCTCTTCTGCGATGGCCTGGCCCGTAGCTTGCGAAAGTCAGTTTGAGCGGCGAACCCTGCAAAAGACGTGCCACATCTTTCCCGTTTCCGTTGGAACGTCAGCCAAACAAAAGACCCAATGGGTGGCTTGCAGTAGGATTCACTTGCAACATGCGGCAAAAAGGCGTGCATGCTTGGACAAAAGCCGGTTCCGTCAAGTCGGGTTTTGCCCCGCGTACTGACAGCATGAGCTCCTTCCTATTCGGCTATTGACTCGGCCTTGCGTACCTTCTCAATATTCAAGGGCTTCACCACCAGCCAGCATCATACCTCTTGCAGGTAATCCCCCCCACATAGGGGTAAACAAGGGACACATAAGCACATAAGCCCCAAATCAGCTTCAGCGCCATATATTTTCCTTTGCGGGTCCTAGGGATTGGTGGATAGGGAATTCGCTGAAACCATGGAGCGCCAGACCCAGCCCGAGCGCCCGTGCCCGAGGCTCGTGCGCCTTGAGCTGAGCCTCGTGCAGGGCGAGCTGGTCCTAGCGAGGTGGATATCGCAAGCATACGGATGGACAAAATCTTGCACCACTTGGAAACCATGGTTGAAACCAGAACGTCTCTCAGTATTTACAGGGGAATCAAATCATTCCAGTGTTTCTCAGGTGGTGCAGGATTTTGCCCATCCACGGTATTAAGCTTAACGTGAAGCTGCGGAAGAGCTGAGAGGCAGTGGCGAAACAGGGGGGGATTCGCTAAAAAAGCTTATTTTCCTGTTGGCTTCCCTTTAACATGACCTGAACAGGTGATTTTTACTTAGACCCGACTCTTTCATCCAGCTCCTCCGTAAGGTCGCCCGGCGCGCGTTGCGGCACGTGCACCTCGTCAATTCGGAAGGGAAGAACCTACGTCCATTGGCTGCTGCGTTCCTTGAGGTGCGCTAACCGAAAGGAAAACAACCATATTAGGGTCTCAGCATGTCCGAGGTGTTCCAGTCCAGAAGCCAACCTTGGGAAATGTAGACGAAGCATGTTTAAAGGAAGCGTGCGTGTGTCTGTGTGTATGTATGTACGTAGTATGTATGTGTTATTTTCGAAAGGGAATCTCTTCTGGAGTTGTGTAAGGAGAACAAATCGCGGGAAACTGTCTTGTGTGCTTATGTGTATAATTTATAGATATTATTCATTTGATGTTTTTTTTTTTGGGGGGGGGAATGTATTCTGATGATCATCGTCTGGCGAAGGTACATCCAAGCCTTTATTCTGCTTGATGACACGCTGCTCTAAGAATAAGAAACACACACACATGCAAACACACACACACACACGGACATGGGTCCGTCCTTCATTTGAGGGTCCCCCATTTTTGGGGTGGTGTTAAAGGAAAGAGGAAGCAGCACCATTTTACGGAAACGCTTAAGACACACCCGCCGTCTTTTTGCCAACCCCTCCCCCTCGGTTTTTAGGCCCCTCGGGCCCCCACTTTGCCCTTGGAGGACTTGCTGCCAAAGCTGTTGTGACCTCGGCCGCACTGATTTGGCTGTGGGTCCAAACCAATGGTGCCATTTTGGGGTAGGCGCACCACCCATTTTAGTCTATTTTAGTGGGGGTGGGATGTTCACTGGGGGTACACGCTTTTGACCCTTCTGCTTTCATGGTGGGTTCGAACAAAGTCGGCTCCGGCCGGTTTGCTGGAACCGTAAGATCCCCTGTTTGCCCCCCCCGCCCCTCTATTTGCGGGGCTTTCCCGAGCATGAAACCAACTCACTGACAGATCTCCAGCATCATATGTTGGTTCTGGTCAGTATTCAGACCCTCGGGCCCGAAACCATTCTGCCAGACCAGTCTTGGGGCCAGACCCATTGACATCAAAGTGCCGAACTTGCCGCCGAGGCTGGACGCGACTCGCCCTCCCGCCTGTGCAGGCCCCTGCCTCTGACTCATCACATGTCAAAGGAAAGGTCACATTTTTAGGCCCCGGGTTGCGAATGTTGTGGCAACATAGCATGAAACTCAAGTGGCGTGCAAAGGGCCATTCATTTCCAGGTTCTCTATGAAATGGCAAACTTGTATTCGAGTGACACCGTTTTAGAATGTCGCTCCAGTGTTCTACATGACAACCTCCACAGGGTGTTTGCAGAGTCGCTCTGTCCGGACGTGGGCAAGCAGCGCAAATAGTGGTCCTGGAGATACAATCTAACAAGCAAAGGCAACTCTTCAGGAGGTCTCACAGGAAAACTGACTTTCACCTCCTCGGTTTCCCCTTGAATCAACCCCCCTTCCCTTCAAGAAAACACCATGTCCAACCGGCCGAAGACGTGCCAAACGAAGCCTCAAAGTGCTTCGCCGTGCCTGGGCGCGTCTGCTTGGGTCTCGATCCGAGCCTTTTGTTTTTGGGGCTGGTTGATTCTGAAGCAACCCCCTCCCCCACCAAAAAAAGACATGGGAGGAAAACCTGACTCAACAAGGCGCGCTTCTACAAGCATGTTTCTGGTTGCAAAATCCATTTCTTCCCAACTGGAATTCAGGGATCCCCACAAGTAGCCTTCTTCGAGGGTGCGCGTTCTCGCACCTTTTGTCAGGCTCCATGTTCGTGGGTGACAGGATAACTTTCGGGGGACTATGACTACACATTCATGGCGGTACCAACATTGAGAAACACCAACTTAAACACAAGGTCGGGAAGGTTTGAATCGG